TAAAAAAAAAAAATAGGTGCATGGGTTTCCCGCCAAAAGTCATACCAGACCCTTAATCCAAGCACAGGCCTGGCAGGGCCTGCCAGTAACCCTCCCTTATGTAAATAAAACTACTTTTTTGCGTACTCACCTTTCCTGTATCTGAATCCTGTTTGCTTAAGACTAAGCATGCAGAGAATAATACTGGAAAAATGCTGCTGTAAATAACAAGACATTTCTTGAAGGTAACTTTATACCCCTTTCACACGGGCATTCCTATAAAGTACGCCTGTCATTTTTTTTAGGTAGACCTGAAAAAGCCCAGTGATAGTCTATTAGAAGCCCAGTGATAGTCTATGGGCAGCCAGATCTAAACGGACGGGCATCTGTTTACATCTGTTTACGCCTGACTCCAGCCAGGTCCGGAAAAGCAAAAGAAACTGTGTTCCATTTCAACGAAGCTGCTCGTGCCAGATCAGAAGTAATTGGAGTAACGTGTCCAGTTACATCTGACATAAGTAATATATAGGTGTCTTGCTGCACTCCTTGGCGCCATCCGTAGTGACCACGGATGGCGCCGTTCATTCTGAGCCTGATGATGGGGACCCTGTGCGGCCCCGAAAGCGCATGTACTGGAATGACAGTACTACATTAATAAATGGACTTTTGTTGATCTCACTTAAATGGTGTGCTGGTGACATCCTTTTGCAAACATTTACATCAGACTGCCCATAGACAAGCATTGGTCTGGTAATTTCATTTTTTTCCTTGATTGCAAAATGGAGGAAAGAACTGGACGCTTACATGCATTCCGATCAGCAGGGGACCCATGCATCGATCCCCTCCTGATTGGAACTCAAGGCACCCATATGAAAGGGGCCTTACTTACTATTACTTACATACTTTTGATCGAGTTTTCCTTCTGTCCTAAGCAGGACTGAGTTATTAATTACTCCAGCAGATGGCAATGTTGAGACATTTTGCTGCAATTTAGTTGCAATAGGAAAGAAACTGAAAGAAGAATTGTATATATCTTTGTTTACTTCATGTTGATTCATCCATAAGATTGTGATTTGTTCTATGTGAGGAGACAATCAGCAAAAGGTATTTCAAGATTTAGAAATAACAAAACACCAGCCACGCGTGATCACTGCTGGTGTAGCTCTACTGCCCACGCAAGGATTTCAGTATGGATGCAAATCCGTTAGGGACAGGTCTCTAATCGGAACGCAGTTGTACGCTTAATCCATGCCTGACATATTCTTTCCCAATTGATCTCCGCTGTCTCATCCCCTTTGTACAAAATCTCATCCACTGTCTCATCCACTTTGTACAGTGTGTAACCACACTGTTGAATTGTTGCCAAAGTTCGCCTCCTCATTCTAACCTACCAATACCTAATTATCTGAATTTTCCCACATTCTCAATGTCTTTTGATTGCCTTTGCGAGGTCTAGGTGTTAGGTAGCAAATTGTACTTCAAGTGCTTGTATACAAGAATACTGAGGATTCGGATATAAAATAATCATTTTTATATCAAAGAACTATTTAAACATTTGGGTGTGGTTTGATGAACAAAATGGGCATAGTTGATGATCTTGGCTACAATTAGCAGGTTGATGTTGGGTTTTTAATAGGTTCTGATTCAGGACTCTGAAGGAGGTGAAACCCAATTTATTTTAATAAACAGGAAATAAATTACAGAGGGAAGGAGGAAGCCTGTCACATGACTATGGACTTTGACAGGTCATGTGGCATGGCCTTCCTCTCAACCCCCTGCGATCTGTTCTGTAGAGCGGAGGCTCCACACTGCACTCTTCATTATAGGAATTGAACATAAAATACCGGTGCAGTGTGGAGTATTTACTGCAATTTGTATGAGGAAACGATACTACCCTTGGGCTGCAACCAACTAATCGATTAATCGAAAAAAGAATCGGTCAACTAATCAGTTATGAAAATAATCATTAGTTGCAGCCCTATGCCACCCTCCATTATACATAGTCCTCAGGTCTCCATGTATAGTTTGTAACCATATGTGTACTCAAGGGCAACCATATTTATTCAGCAAGCTCTACTCCCTGTTAGTAATGCTGTGTATTGTGTTTTACTATTTCTTTCTCGCAGTACATGTCTACTAGTCAAGTCTGACTGATTGAAAGCAATCTACTTGCTGCCTGGCTGAGATTTTATCCCTGCAATTGTTGAGCAGGAAGGTTGTCTGATAAGGCCTCATTGACAGAGGCACATGAGACTGTATAATGTAAATTGCAGTATTCTATTTAAATGATCATATCTCCAGTGCTTACCGTATTTCACTTCAATAGGCCTTATTGAGGCTGTATAATGTAAATTTCAGGGTGATTTATGCGCCTAGGATACACAGCTGCTGTGTACAACTGCCTATTTTAACGAATGGCTGTAGGCGGCTGTATGCGGGTTTACACTGCTACTTGCATAAAACCGCACATGCATACAGACATATAGCCCTTGGCGCAGAACGTCTGTGTCCAAGGGCGTACAGGTTTACACAAGTAGCAGCATAAACCTTCATGCAGCCTCCTACAACCATTCATTACTATGGGCAGCTGTACACACAACACCTACCATTTCTGTTATATGGCCTCATGAGCCCGTATGCTTGAGACTTATAAATGTGAAATACGGTAGGCACTAGGGAGATGATAACTGAAGTACAATACAGCACATGTAAACATAAGAAAGCAGCTAGATAAAGCACCTCAAGACAAACAATACAATAATAACTCCCTATAATATGCATTTCCTTTTCTTTAAATTCAGATGAGGTTTGTGAAGACAAAGCTACTGCAAACTGCTCGCTGGTCCTGAAGGTGAAGCTGTGCTCACATTGGTATTATCGGAAGGCTTGCTGTCGGGCCTGTGGAGGGAAAGCTTCCTGACTTCCACATACCCCTCTCCCTTATATTTGTGAATTGTGTACATTACAGATTGTGCCTCCCATGAATAACCCTGCCTAGAAAATGTGCGTCCGGCAGACGATATTGTTACCTCTTGATTGTGATTTAATCCTATGGTGCCTAGTGATCGATCTGCTGTTCATTGTATGATGTGTATTTTTGGCAAATGCCCTGTAAAAGACTCAACACATTTGTTTGCATCCAAACTGGCCAGACAACCTAAGGCCTGGTTCACACTGAGCGTTTTGTAGCACTTTTTCTGCACTAAAAAATGCAAACAAAAACTGCCCTTCCCCCCTCAAAAAAAAATCCCATTCATTTCTATTTAAATGCCTGTCGCCGGAAAAAGTACATGAGCTTTTTTTTGTGGCATATTACAGCTTGTTTTGGTCCCATAGACTCAATAAGAAACGCTTCAAAGCGCGCACTTGCTGTGCTTTTGCGCATTTTCATGCATGTTTTACATGCATTTGCTCATTAACATTTATGAGCTACAATCTGCTCATAAAAATGCGCGACTTGATTTATGCGCATAAAATGCTCAAAAAAACAAACATTAGAAATGTGCAAAAAATGCTGTCGCTTAGGTATGAACCCAGCCTAAACCCCGTTCACACCAGGTCGTTTGTAACTCCTATTTCTCAGCGCGGAAAAGCTCTGCGCAAGTCTGTGAAGTATGCGCCTCTTTTTAGGGAGATCAGTGCCGTGTGACCCTTTTTCCTATTCCTAATCGCGCTGATCTGCCCAAAAAAGAAGTTTGTTTACTTTTCTCCAGGGACAGGCTTTTTTTTAGCGCGACGCTGTGCTGCGACATGAACCGGGACTATAGAAATCAATAGGATTTCTTCTGCGGAGCTTTTCCATGCTAAAAAATACGATCTACAAACGCCCTGGTGTGAACGGGGACCTAATGCAGTTGTAGAAAAACAACCCTTTATATGGAAAAATCACTTTACTGTTTACAAGAGTGTCCATGTCTCTAACTGTATTTGTAAAACCATAGCACACATGTATGACAAGTCCTCCTCCGTAGTCATTGCATGTCGAAAGCAGGAAAAATCATCACAATGGGGGGAATTTACTAAAACTGGAGCAGACAGAATCTGTAGCAGCTGAGCATTGCAACCAATCAGCTTCTCTCTTTATCTTGTTGAGTTTAGCTTTGAAAATGAAAGCTAGAAGCTGATTGGTTGCCATGCGCAGCTGCTTCAGATTCTGCCTGATTCAGTCTTAGTAAATTCCCCCCCAATGTGTTCTCTGTTCCGCCTTTTCTAAATTGTGCTGTCATAAAGTTGTGGAAGAAAGAAAAGACACACAATTTGTTAGGCAGCTGGGTTGTGAACTGTAATTTACTGGTGATTCACCAATCTACCTTACCAAGCGGCACACAGAGCCTAAATAATACTTGCTTGTGGCATTTGAAGCAAAACTCTGGGCAAAAGAAATCTTAACCCTTGCAGTGGGGCTACCTCCCCTCCCACCCTCTGCAAGGGTTAATTACTCGTTTTGTCTAGGGAGCTAAAATAACAAAGTTATACTCACCTGAACCCCAATTCTGGCTGGTTCCTACAGCGCTCCACCCACTTGGAGGGACAGATGGGGAGATGCAGAGCCAACTGCCAATCAGGTAGCGGGGTGGATCCCTACAATATTGTTGGGATCCGTCCCAACTGCAGCGTGGCTCTGCGCTGTCAGCATATAGCAGGCGATAGCCCTCTATATGTTGACTTTTGGGTCACAGGAGGACATTAGAAAATGTCCTCTTGTGGCCTTAAAGAGAACTATGGCCAAAGAAGGTTTGGCCATAGTTCTCTTTTAATTTTACCCACTGAAAACGCTTTGCAGCTGTATTTCAAAGGTTATTCCATGTGACAAGATAATTTCACACCTAAGTGATATTTCTGTTTTTGAACTAAACATTTTTTAGGAGTAAATGATCATGATTTATAATAAGGAATAGGGATAAAATAACTCATGTATCTTAGGGAATTGATCCTGGTATCCATTACTTCTGTTGGTACCACTTCTATTGGAATTCTTTTCAATGCTGTGCTTAGGGCTGAAGCAAATGCGAACAAGGGAAGGTTTAAATTGCCTGCAGGAAAAATACTGTTGTAGGCATGGGCCCAGGTACATAGTGCTTGGATTTGAAGGGTTATGGTTTTCAAAATGATTTGGGGGTCTTGTTATATGGATGTGTTACTCTGTTAGCCTGACCCTGAGCCAATGTTCGTTTTCTTTTTTTAATCAAAGCTGCTATAGCTTTATTCGATTGTTCAGGGCATTATATGCTAGAGAACACACAGTTTTTAAAGTGACCCTTTCCTCTGTGCATGCAGGGCAAAAAAAGAAAAGGGTCATGCCCCCCACCTTTTCCTTTCTCCTGAGCGGCTCGGTTTGGTCACTGGAACTTCTGGGTATGAGTGATTCACTCTTCCGCTCCCATGTAAAAGTGCTGGTGCCTCATGACTGGCCTAGGGCTGTCACATGGGGAATGCGTAAGGAGCCCAAAGCCTGTGTAAGCTCTGACAGGTGGGTTTGGAGCTTACACAGGGCTTTCTATTTATGTCCTGGTGTCCAAATGGAGCAGTGGAGAGTGCAAGGAAAGGTGAGTATATGGTGCTAGGGAGGAGGGAGTTTAGTGACCCGTTTACTGTTGCCTGAATGGGAAAAAAAAGGTTCACTTTTTATAGTCCAGCAACATCCTAAGAATCTTGCTTGCACCACAGATAAAAGCAGCAGCATCCATATGGTTACACTGCTGTTATTTGGTCATACCAGTGTTTTATCACTCCCTCTATGCCCCACACAAGTAACCAGTACTAGATATTTAAGCATAACAGAATATGTAAAATAAAACGGCTGTTGCATACCTTAAAGCAAGACCAGATCCTATCAGTTTCATTGTGTGCCAGTATGTCGTTGGAGTAGTCAGCATTCAAGAGTGCAGGAATATACACTGTTCATGAAATGTACGCTGAGAGTGATAGGATGCAGACTGCACATAGTCATGTAGCCATGGGTAGGGTCAGTGCATGGTGAATATACCACACATTAAGCACGGACATTTAACTGTCAGGTATATGTTCAGGTTTCACCATCCCTATGTAGAGATTTAAGGGATCAGTTGTGGGTAGACAAATCACTTAATGATTTCATGTCCTTCTGGCAATGTAGTTTTGTCACCTTGGTTCCTAGATCTGGCCCCCTGGACTGACATTTAGGACCATGTCCAACTGGCAATGGTTTCCCCTAACTGGCCTGGAATGCTACAGAATCTCACACGCTAGCAAGGGTACAGTGGGGGTGTGACATCTCGCTGGACTAGTCTGTAAGGGAGTAATTCCTTATAAAGGGGTAAGTGGTATCAGCTCGCCAGCAGATTTCCTCATCTGATATGGCCTTTACAAAGAAAGATCTAAACACTGGAGTCCCTGAGAGATATTAGTTGCTGGTGTCTGATTCAGGTCATCAGCATTCTTCCTCAGATTAAATTTTCAGTTTGGGATGTATCATTTATGATAACAGTTAATTTCTGATCAAGTTTACCTTTTCAGTGTCCAAAAAAAGGGACAAGCCAACCAATATCCAGGCTTTTGGAAGGTAGGGATATAAGATAATATATATAAGACCCATCAAGGCTAACCATGTGGACTGTTGCAGGGAGCTATATGTATATCATTTATGTATTTGGGTAAATTCCATTTACTGTAGCACTGTCCTGAGTGGGTAGATAAGAAAAGATGCTTTCGGTACACCTTAGACAAGAGCTGTCAGCTAATCCCCAAGCATCATGGTAGATGTAGAGTAATCTTAACTGGAGAAATTATATTTTCCTATTGTAGAGCCATCTAAATTCGATAAAGAAACCAAAGCTGTATCTTTGGGGCTCATGGCAGAATCTATTGTATTCCTGAGACAAGGGCTGCCATGCCCGGCTCCTGCTATAAAGACATTGATTGATAAAGATGTATTTTTATTATTCTAAATAAAAAGATCTAAACTAAGAAATATAATTTGGTTTCAGAATTGCTTTTTTTAAAAAAAATAAAGATTTCATAAATGGTCATTTACTAATGTTGTTCTCTACACAGGTACAAAGGTGTTCCGCTTTTTAAGCAGGGTAAGCTTTATTGGCCTAATGTGTAAATAATGGGGCACATCTATGATATCTGCTGAAAATAAAGTATTAAAGTAGTCAAATTCCTTGTTGTATTTTAGTGGTGCAGATAGGGAAGGACTAGGCTGCGGGGGCAGAAGGGCATTAAGCCCCTGGGCCAGTACTTATTTATTATAAATATTTATATAGTGCTGACAATTTACACAGCACTACATACTGCATATTCACATCAGTCCCTGCCCTCAAGGAGCTTACTATCTAAGGTCCCTATTGTATATGCATGCAGAGCCAATTTAGACAGGAGCCAATTAACCTTCCAGCATGTCCTTGGAGTGTGGGAAGAAACCCATGCAAGTGCAGGGAGAACATGCAAACTCCTTGCAGATAGTGTCCTGACTGGGATTCAAACCAGGGACCCCCAGTGCTGCAAGGCAGAAGTGCTAATAACTAGACATGTGCGATTCGTTTCGTTCCGAATCGAAATTCGGACGAATTTTCGGAAATTCGGACATTCGGATGTATCCGAATTACAGACATAACGAATGCAAACGAATCCGAATTTCCATTTCCGAAATTCGGTAGCGTTAGTTCGAACGTTCGTTTCGTTTTCTGTTCTTATTCATTTCTTATTCGTTTCTTATTCGTTTCGTTCGTTGGAGCAAAGTGACATTAGAGAAGGAGAAAAATATTTTTCCCCCTTCAAATGTCACTTTGCTGCAAACGAACGAAACGAATACGAAACGAATAAGAACAGAAAACGAAACGAATGTTCGAACTAACGCTACCAAATTTCGTCCGAATCCGAATTGACTTTCACACCCGAATCCCGAAAAACGAAATAACACAAATCCGAATTTAAAACGAAACGAAACTAAACAAATTTTTTGGCAGTGCACATGTCTACTAATAACTAATCCACAGTACAGACAGAATATGTTGGCCCAATGACACTGAGCTCTAGACCTTGATCAGACCGGGGCCCGCAGAGATACAGGCTGGATAATTTATAGCTATCTGTTCCTTGTTTAGATTTGTATCTGGCAGAGGGAACTGAAGCACCA